TATTTTACTATTCATTTCCCCATTTGGTAGCTTATTTAATATAAATCTTTTAAAATAAATAAATAAATTTTAGGCTGTGAATTTTTCTTTGGTGTTGATTGATGCATCTCCTATACTTAAGATACGGTGCTCTGGGTCTCATTTCTAAGTATAGTCCTGTGTCACTTAACAATGTGGAGATGCACGGTTAGGCAATTCTGTTGTTGTGCAAACAGCATACAGTGGACTCACACAAACCTAGATGGTATAGCTACTACTCACCTCGGCTCTACCGCACAGCCTGCTGCTCCTGCGCTACAAACCTATACAGCACGTGACTGTACTGAATATTGCAGGCAACTGGAACACGATGGTTAGTATTTACGTATCTAAACATAGCTAAACACAGAAAAGGAACAGTAAAGACAGAACAGTAAAGAAGATGTAAAGCTAGTGCCCCTGTAGACGGTGATACCATGAATGGAGCTTGCAGGACGGAAGGTTGTTCTGGGTGGGGCAGTGAGTGAGTGGTGAGTGAATGTGAAGGCCTAGGACATGACTGCACACTATGGTACACCACTGGAGGTGAGAAACACTGTACACTTCGGCTACACACATTTATAAAAAGTGTTTTTCTTTCTTCAGTAATCAACTTCACCTTAATGCAACATTTTTACTTTATAAACTTTTTAAACTTTTTTTTTTTTTTTTGAGACGGAGTTTCGCTCTTGTTACCTAGGCTGGAGTGCAATGGCGCGATCTCGGCTCACCGCAACCTCCGCCTCCCGGGTTCAGACAATTCTCCTGCCTCAGCCTCCTGAGTAGCTGGGATTACAGGCACGCGCCACCATGCCCAGCTAATTTTTTGTATTTTTAGTAGAGACGGGGTTTCACCGTGTTGACCAGGATGGTCTCGATCTCTTGACCTTGTGATCCACCCGCCTTGACCTCCCACAGTGCTGGGATTACAGGCTTGAGCCACCGCGCCCAGCCCCTTTTTAAACTTTGACTCTCATAATAACACAACTTAAAACACACATTGTACAGCTGTACAAAAACATTTTTCTTTATATCCTTATGTTTTTTTCTATTAAACATTTTACGTTTTTTGTTAAAAGCTAATACACAAACCCACACATTAGCCTAGGCCTACACAGGGTCAGGAGCATCAATACCACTGTCTTCCACCTCCATGTCTTGCCCACTGGAAGGTCTTCAGGGGCAGTAACACACATGGAGCTGTCATCTCCTATGATAACAATGCCTTCTTCTGGGTACCTCCTACAGGATCTGCCTAAGGCTGTTTCACAGTTAACTTAAAAAAATAAGTAGAAGCAGTATGTTGCAAAATAATGATAAAAGTATAGCGCAGTAAACACATAAACAGGTGACAGCCATTTATTCTCATTATCAAATATCATGCACTGTACATAATTGTATGTGCTACACTTTTATATGACTGGCAGCACCACGAGCACACGAGCAAGGCATTGCGCTGCATTGCAATGCTGCAGCATCACTGGGTGATAGGAATTTCCCAGCTCCATTGTAATTTTAGGCAGTCTGTCATTGGCCAAAATGTCATTAGTGGTGCTTGACTGTAGACTGTAGTTTCAGCTTTGAGTTACTAAGAAGAGTGACAAACATTTTAAGTAGATTTTGAAGGGGTTATTGTTTTTATGGTTAATTTCTAATTTTGCTATATCAAGGTAAGAGCAGCTTTAGAATTTGTTTAATTCTTTGGACTTAAATCTTGGCTAATTTTTGTGAATGTTTCTGGGGTGTTTAAAAAGAATGTGTGGTTTTTGTTTCCCATTTATTGAGTATAAATCTATATGATCGAATCTGTTAATTGTATTATTTAGATGTTCTTTACCCTTTTTTCTACATTGGTCTATTTGAACTGCCATGCTCTACTACCTGTATTAAATTTGCCACTGTGTGTGTGTGTATTCTCCTTATAGTTCTATCAGTGTGTGATTGATACATTTCCAAACTACATTGTTAGACTCATGTAGTTTTATGACTGTTACATATTTTGGATGGATTATACCTTTTATCAATATAAAATCTCTCTTTGTCTTGTTGAATGCCTTTCACCTGGAATTCTATTTCTGCTACTGCTATTATTACATCTACAATGTGAGCCTTATACGGTATTTGTTTTTCCATCCTTTTTATTTTCATTTTCTTTAGGTCATTTTGTTTATATCTGTTACAAACAGGCTAGAGCTAGATATCTTAAAGTCAACATCAGAGTATCTTTTAACAGTGAACGTTGGCTCAACAATTTTTAGTAATTATCTTTTTTTTTTTTGGAGATAGAGTCTCGCTCTGTCGCCCATGCTGGAGTGCAGTGGCACAATCTTGGCTCTTGGCTCACCGCAACCTCGTCTCCTGGTTTCAAGCGATTCTCTTGCCTCAGCCTCCTGAGTAGCTGGGACTACAGGCACGCACCACCATGCCCAGCTAATTTTTTTTTGTATTTTTAGTAGAGATGGGGTTTCACTGTGTTAGCCAGGATGGTGTCTATCTCCTGACTTCATGATCCATCTAACTCGGCCTCCCAAAGTGCTGGGATTACAGGTGTGAGCTACTGCGCCTGGCCTATCGTTGTTCTTTTTCCTGCCATCTCATTTCATTATTCTAATTTCCATGTTTTATTTATTTATTTTTCTACTTTTGCTTTACCTTCCTTTTGATGTTTGTCCATTTTTTCCTCCAGTGGTTTAGAATGTATATGTTCCATTTCTAGTTTTTTAGTGATTGACTTTTAAATATTTAACATATGCATTTATACATACTTTCCCTTAGTTTTGTACAGAATTAAACAGTATCTATTTCTTACCCCCAAACAAGAGAAGAATCTTAGCATGGTTTCAGGTTTCTCATTCTTCTACCACCTCACCCCCTACCTTGTAGAGATAACATAAAATATTACTTCCAAATCGTCATTAAGGTTTTGTACATTTCCCCCTCAACAATTATCTGACTTTATATAAACTTTATAATGTCCTTGTTCATAACTCACAACTATAGACTTCATTATTTTTTACTCGTATCATTACTCTGCTCATTCTATTTCTTTGATTCATATTTCATTCTGTGGAAGTACAGCCTGAGTAATTGCTTCAAGGAAGACTTATGTGGGGGAGTAAACTTTATGGGTTCTTACACTTTTGGAAATGTCTCTGTTTTACTTGACTACTTGAATGCTGTTTAGACTGCATATAGAGGGCCAGGTTCAAAAATACATTTTCCTTGTAATTTTGAACATATTATTCCATTGTCTTCTATTATATATATACTTTTGTTAATGAGAAGTCTAATGCTAATGATGATTTTGAAGGTAATTCCCCTTTTCTTCTTTGGCAACACTATTAAAGAGACTTCCTTCTCCATTGTGCATTCTTGGCACCTTTGTCGAAAGTCAGTTGGCTATAAATGATTGGGTTTATTTCTCAGGTTTCTATCCTGAGCCATTGCTCTATGTGCCTGTTTTTATGCCAGTACCATGCTGTTTTGGTTACTATAGCTTTGTAACAGATTTTGATATCAGGCAATGTAGTGCCTCCAGCTTTGTTCTTGCTCAAGACTGCTTTGGCTATTCAGGGTCTTTTGTGGTTCCACATGAAGTTTAGGATTGTTTTTTCCATTTCCATAAAAAATGACTTTGGCATTTTGATAGGAATTGCATTTGTAGGTTGCTTTGGGTAGTATGGTCGTTTTAACAATATTAATTCTTCCAATCCATGAACACACAATATCTTTCCATTTATTTATGTCACCAACTATTCCTTTTATCATGTTTTGTAAGTTCTCAGTTTATAGATCATTCAATTTACTCCAATTTATTTTGTTTTTTTTTAATGCTATTGTAAAAGGGGCTGATTTCTTAATTTCTCTTTCAGATAGTTCATTGTTAGTGTAAATAAATGCTACTCATTTTTGTGTGGTTGATTTTGTGTCCTGCAACTTTACTGAATTAGTTTATCAGTTGTAATACTTTTTCAGTGGTCTTTAGGATTTTCTATATATAAGATCATGTCATCAGCAAACAGAAAATTTTACTTCTTCCTTTCCTATTTGGATGCCTTTTAAAAAAATTTTTGCCTAATTTCTCTGGCTAGGACTTCCAGTATTATTATGCTGAACAGAAGTGGTGAGAGGGGGCATATTTGTCTTCTTCCTCATCTTGAAGGAAAAGCTTTCAACTTCTCACCATTAAGTATGACGTTCGCTGTGGCCTTGTCATATGTGGCCTTTATTGTGTGGCAGTACGTTCCTTCTATGCCTAATTTGTTAGAGAGGTTTTTATCCTGAAAGGACGTTGAATTTTGTCAAATGCTTTCTCTGCACCTATTGAAATGATCATACGGTCTCTTTTCCTTCATTCTGTTAATATGGCGCATTATATTTATTGATGTGTATATGTTGAACCATCCTTGCATTTCTGGAATGAAACCCACTTGATCATGATGCATCATCTTTTCCAGGTACTGTTGGATTCAGTTTGCTAGTATTGTGTTGAGGATTAAATGAGGATGAAGCCCAGTGCATGTGGACATAAGCACCCAGCATGGCAAATGGCACAGGTGCTGGGAGTGGTAGATATCTGTACGTATTGGACAAGAAAACTGAGGTTCAGAAAAGTTAGATGTCTCTGTCAAGGTCACGAAGTATGTCACCAGGTTGGCTTTGGGCTTGTTCAGATTCCAAGCCAGGCTACTTTCAGCATGTGACTTTTGCTCCCCTAATGGCTTTGGCTGGTTTCCAGCAGGTGTGCCATTGCCCAGTGTGTTGCTCCATGGAAAGTTATCATAAATGACAATGGAACCACTGGCCTCTTTGTCAAGTGGATGGCAAGCACACATCCTCTCCCTTCCTACTCCCCAGGAGACAGTTCCCTCTCATTCTACAACCAGGTCACAGCATGGCACCATGCAGGGGTGTGTGTGTCTGTGTGTGTGTGTGTCTGTGTGTGTGTGTGCGCATGTGTACCTGTGTCCTCAGGGACCCACCTGAAGAGGAGTAGCACAGCTTGGGGGAAGGTCTGAAAGTTGTTGTTCCGGTTGATCTCTGTGGTATCATTCAGGGCAATTTTCCCAAACACCTGGGAGAGGGAAGGAAAAGGTGTTCAGTGACTTGTGGACAGAGAGGGTCCTAATTTTCCACCACTGTTCATTGTTCTCTTCAGGGGTCTCACGGGTCCCTGGAACTGGCCAGTCCACAGGCTGAACTGTCTTCCCATGCAACATGGCAGGCACCTACTGCCCCGCTCAGCCCCTAAGCCCAATCCCCACACTGGACAAGTGTGAGAACCAAAGTGCCCACAGCCTCAGGAAGATCCCTGCAGCCCAGTGGGAGCTGGGGCTGAGAGCAGTGCATGCTGGGACTGGGACCCGGCTTCTGACAGGACGTAGGATGCACTGGCCTTCTTTACTTTGCCATTTCAAATCTGCATGCCCAAGCACTCTTTCAAATTTAGTTCTTGCATTTTGGAGCGATACGGAGTGAGTGATCGGGAGCCAGGGCAAGCTTAATTCATTCCTGAAATCCCTTTTTTCCCTGTTTTTTTTTTTTTTTTAAGCTGTGCTTACCTTAGAAACTGCCACCTTTATCAGGTATCAAGGTAGCTCTTTTAGTCTCAAAAGGTTTTGGCAACTGAATCTTGGGTCTTTCTGTGATGAGCAAGTAGGGGACTTCCTGAAGGAGTGGCCAAGGAAACGCTCTGGGCTAGTGTGGATGCCCTGCCGAGTTTGACCTTGGAATCTCAAGCTGGATCCCTGAGTCGGGAATGGAGAGCTCCAGGTTTGCAGTGAGAGGAGCAGTGGGCGCCTGGGAAGGGAGGCTTCAGAAAACTGCTGCACATTTGATGCAGTGAACCCTGCCTTGATTTGGCCCTTCCTTGCTTCCTCCTTCCTTCTCCCTCCCTCTCAGTCATTAGCTTCAAATGAATCTGATTGGGGTAATTCTCAGGCCCATCAGACCTGGACAAAAACAGTGGTGCAGGGCAGACACACCTTGCTGCTGCTTCTTGAGAAGGGGCTGTGTCTCTCCCGAGGCCCCTTGCGTAACTCGGGAGTGTCTTTCCTCTACCAAGAGCAGAACCCAGGCTTCGGGGAGGGAAGCTCTCTGGGCTATGTATTCTGTACCTGGACATTCTCCTGTTACTTACAGGAGACCCATTTGGGGTAAGCTCCAATTCTTGTGGCCTTTTGGGCTTCAGAAAATGGAAGAGGAGGGAGAGGGATGGTCAGGAATGAGAGAGAGAACTGGGAAGAGATAGAGCAAGAGGCCAGGAGGTGGGAGCCTCCTTACCTGCATCCCAATCACCGCGTAGATGAAGAACAGCATCACAATCAGGAGGGCCACATAGGGCAGGGCCTGGAAGGAAGCACAGGAGACTCCCATAAGGCCCGAGTGCAGAGGCCAGCTGGCCCCTTCCCAGGGAGCGCCGCATCCTTGTCTCTGCAGCCATCAGCTGTCTCCTGGTTTGGGCTGGGGGACATTTCCAAGAGTCCCACAGGACTACAGGGAACCTGGGAGAAGGCCTGAGAAACCAGAACTGACTTCTCATTTCAGTTTGGTTTTCAAAGCAGGCTGTGGAGTAATGATATAGTGTGACACTACCTGGGCAAAACAATCAAGAATCAGCAAAACCTCCTCCGACGACACATGTGCATTATGTTTGTACAAGGCAGGAGGAATGGTGGAGGACAGCACTCAGCTGACTGTGGTTACCTGTGAGTGGGGTGGTGGCAAGTTACACCCTCTCTTTACACAGCTTAACTCTGCCCCACTAGTTGTAGTGAGTGGGTATTACAGTTGCAATGAAAACATTTAATAAGGAAAAATCTAGCACAAAGATCATGGGTTCAAATCCTGTTTCTGCCACTTTCTATCTATGAGAGCTGGGGTGCTTAACTTCTCTTAGCTTCAGTCTCCTCATGGGAAATGTGGAAATAATAACAATAATGACCTCTCAGAGGTTTCGTGGTTTAAATGATTTAAGGCCTATAAAGTGCTTAGTGCAATGCCTTGCAGAGTTGGGTTCCATACGTTCTATTTGCTCAATGTATTACCTGTCTGGCAGAGCCAGAGCCCCCGCCACTTCTGGGGACAGGCCATGGTTCCTGGGATGGGAGGTAGAGCCCGCACTCCCGGGCGCCAAGGCAGCCGCAGCTGCTGGTCACTAGAGGGTGCCGCGAGAGCACATGCCACCGTCAGGCCTCACAGTCACCCAGTCGGTGCCTCTTCCCAGCCCCGGGAGATGTTGTGGGTCAGGGTGAGTATGTTGGGTCCCTGTATGGCCACTCACAGCCCTGGGTCCCTCGTGCATCCAAGGACAGGGGTGGCGGCAGTCCTGTTTCTGCTGGTGTCTACCATTCCGAATCCCCAGAGCCTTGGCCGAGTGTGACACTGGGTGCAGGAGCCTCAGCTCATCACCAGGTGGGGGTCAGCCCTGCCAGCTCGGAGGAGGCCTGGCCATTGGGAGCTCCCTGGAGAGCCTTAGATGGTCAGTCCCTGGTAGGAGGCTCTGGGGGCCGAGCCAGGACAGGACTCCCACTGAGGATGGGCACCTTTCCTCTGGCTACAGCTATAGCCATGGGCACACCTGGACCAGGCCCAGGCACACCCAGTCCCCAAGCAGGGACTGGCCGGGGCAGGGGACACAAAAGTCATCTTCCCCCACGGCCTCTGGTCTTGAGAAGGCTAAGAGTGGCCCCTCCATTGTGGGGAGAGGAGTCTGCCTTCCACCAGCCAAGGGGAGCAGGGAACCGCCTTCCTGGTTCTGTGCTCATCTGGGGGAATTCAAGTGACCCAACAGCTTTGCTTCTTAACTTCAAACCTATGAAGGCTCCTCTGAGCTGGCTGGGGCTGATCATCATTCTGTTTTAACTGGGAAATAATGGCTGAGCAAAGGAACTAATCATGTGGCCAGGCAGTCCTGGGCTCATCTGAGGGGCCTCTCTTGCCAAGTAGAGGACACCAGGGTCCTGAAAGTCTGGCCAAGGACATAACAGGTGCTGGAGCAGATGCTGCTGAAATGCCCATGGGAAGGAGGGTGACGGCCAGATTCTGAAAATGCTGAATTCGAAGAGCCATAGCAGTCACCAGGTTGTCCAGGCCCTCCTTATCACAAAACCCCTTTGTCCAGTAAATTCTTGCTGAGAAAGACATAAATGATGAGTAAAAGTAAGGCAGACCCTTTCTGCCTCCCCTTAGCTCCCATCCCTCCTTTACTGCCTGGCCTTCTGGGGCTCCAAGCCTGCCTTGGAAACCACGTGCTTTGTCTAAGCCTCTCAGGGCAAAATGGGGAGCCAGGCAGAGCTGCGGAGTTCTATCACTCAGAGGAAGCAGCAGAGCCCCAGAGTGGAGGGCTCTTCCCGTGCCAGCTCTGCTCCAGGCCAGGTGGCAGACCTGAGATCCTCAGGCCACAGGACACGAGGGGTGGCTACCTGGAAGGACTTGATGAAGGTCCACAGCAGCGTCCTGATGCCCTCCCCGCGGCTCAGCAGCTTCACCAGGCGCATGACCCGGAACAGGCGGAAGAAGGTGATGGAGATGCGGGAGTTCTCCTCTGCATTCTGGAACCCGTCGGCAACAGGAGGTGCAGTTAGCACAGCAAGAGGGGGTAAGAAGAGGAGGGCCCCTCCGAGAAATACAGCCCTCAGTGGCAGTGGCGGAAGGCAGGCCAGGGTTCGCTGCACTAGACTTCCCCCTCGGATGGGAGGGCAGCCGCCCACCTTTAACGGGTGGACAGCGCAGCCCCATGGTCTCTGCAGAGACAGACTGTGCCCAGGCCCCTGGGCTGTGGTCCTGTTTTTTTTTATTCTCCCCACTTCCCCTTCATTCCTAGTTCTTAATGCCCTGGATGGAGGAACAGACGACTCCATCAGGAACTTCCACATGCTTTGGAGTCTTCTAGGTCCAGAGCCAGCTGCCCTGGGAGTCCCTGCCCCTGCACTGCTGAGGAAGCAACCTCGTTTGTCTGGGCGGAGAGTCCTGTGTCCGGAGTGGGGCCCAGTGCTCTGTGAGGAGGTGGGTTGGTGACAGCCTCTTTCCTGGCTGTAGGTATGTGTGCATTTGGGGGTCCTGTGGGCTGCCTCCAGAAGAGACCTCACATCCCAGCCTCTTGGGACTCTAGCACTTCCCGTGTATCACCTCCTTCTACTTTCCACAGCCCCTGTCCCGAAGGGAGGGACTAAGGGTGCTATTCTGTGCTGGGAGAGGGGCTGGTTTGCAGCCCTTGCTCTGAAGCTGTTGTTCCTACTCCCCTCTGCTCTGGGGCCTCTAGGAGGCTCCAGCCTTCCAGGCTGTACAAGACCTTGGAACGGAGAGGGTCATGGGTCAGGGTAAGGGAAGGGAGGCCTTTCTTGCAACTGATGCTCCTGCAAATGGTCTCCCTCAGGGACCCTGGGGAAGGGGAGAGGGAAGGTGAAGGGGAGGGAGGGTGGAATGCAGGCCAAGGTGAGTGGAGGTGCTTGGGCAGCTGCTGTTGGACCTTGGGGAGCCTGGGGGTTGGGCACATGCCTGGCCTGGGCTCAGGGGGCAGGATGGGCTGCCCTGTCATCCTCTGCCTCCAAACCTGAGAGCTGAGCTGACTCCCCACTTGGCCCTCCTTCTGCCCACACCAGCCTGGTGAGCAGGAACCCAGGAGGGAGCCACTGCCACATCCGGAGCTAGTGCAGCTCACCCAGCCCTGCAGGCACCTGGAGAGAATGGACCCTCGGGGCTTCCTGTTACTGTTCCCATCCACACCACCCTCGAGGTGGGAGGTCTCAGGTTGTTACTGGGACCACCTGGATCCTCCCCACTCCTTGCTTTACCTTGCCACTTGTTTATTTTTAATTATTTATAGGTCAGACTCTCCCTGGCAATATCCAGCGTGAAAGCCCTTCTAACTGCACTGCCTGCCCTGGCTGACCCTAATGTGGCATCAGAGACTGCTCCCCTCGCTATGCAGGACAGGAGATTATGAGGGAGGCAAGGGAGACACAGAGGCAGCGAGACCCGGAGGCAGCCACCACCCTGCACAGAAGCAAGCCAGCGATCTCTCCTGATTTCCAGACTTTCCAGGCAGGAGAATAGCAAAAATATTTCTTATGTTTCAGAATCACAGCTGCCTCAGTTCCTCCTAAGGCTCCTGTTCCCCTCAAGGCAGGAGACAGACTGGCAGGTCTCAGGACCTGCTGCACGGGTGTCTGAGGGGCTGGGTGGAGAGCTGTGGGCAGCAGCCCTGTCCTGCCCTGGGATCTGCCCTGCCTGTGTGTTCTGAAGCCTTTGATGCCCTTAATCTCTGTATTTCTATCACCTGTGTATCTATTTGAAATTCTATTTTCACTCCATAAAAGGAGGCTGTGTTCCCCCAGAGGAGTATGCAGAGGAGGCTTAGGGTTTTATAACTCAGCTGTCAGTTGCACTGTGTTCAGGAAAGGAGAAAAAAAGAAAGCACAAGCTTCAGTGGAGAACTTCAGCTGCAAGTGTCAAGAGTTTGAGAAGCTGGTGCCACAGGGGCATCTGGGTCTGCTGAGTTAAAAAAACAAAGCAAACAAACAAAAAACCAAAAAACACCCGACACGCAGCTTGCAGTGTGAATTCCATTCCACTGTTCAGACCCCTGCCTGGTGGCTGCTGTTTCCTAATGCTGCTCGACAAGGGGAAAACACATGAGGCCGTTTGGACGCACCGATTTCCCCTAATAAACCGAATGACAGTGCAAAGAAGAGGCAGGTCCAGACAGCTGATCCAGAAAGCAGGGTCCCCAGGAAGTGGGGTAGAGCACCCTGGGTGCAGCCTTTGTTGTGGCGGCTTTGTGGCCAGGCGGGGCCAGGCTGCACTGGGGAATAATCAACCCACCCAAGCTTGCCTCGGCCTGCAGACTTTGCGGCTCAGTCAGTCAACCCACTGGTCCTTCTAAAATCTCATACTTGGCCCGGTTTCAAATGCGTAATGGCAGCCTTTTGGGGAAGGCTGCGCCAAGGGGGCTTCAAGGTCACACTGAATGGTGTCTCTTTTATCACTTTAGCCAAAGCGAATCACAGACTCCTATACCAGGAGTGGTCCCATCAACAGAGCTCACTTTTCTGCTTCCAGCCTGCTGCAGAATAGTGGCTGTAGCCTAATGTTAACGGACTTGAGGAATTTAGAAAAATGCAAGGGGTAGCAAGGTTGGAGTGGCTGGAAATTCAACCACACTCTCAGTAACAAATATCTCTGCTTAAACCTCTTACGGTGGCCTTTCACTTGAAGCACAGGGAGGTTAGGAGCCACGGACACTGATTAATAGGAATCATCATCCGCCCTTCCATCTCTTGGCTAGAGCACCTCTTTCTTCCCTCCTTATCCTGAAACCCCTACCATGGGTCTCATAGGTACCCTCTGCAAATTTCTCACATCGGATTAAGGTCAGAGGCTTTGGCCAGTGGAGTCCTCAGGGTGTTTAACAGGAAATGGCCCTCGGGTCCCATTCTCTCCCAGTGGCTTGTTAGATAGTCAAGATCACAGTGAATTACCACCCCAAGGAAAGCTCAGGGGCAACACAACAACACTGCACAAAAGGCACCTTCACAGCTCACATAAGAAGGGAACAGGCAGGCAAGGCACACGGCAGACACGGTGGCCACATGCAGTGAGAGCCAGGCAGGGCTCCCAGGGACTCTGGAGGTCGGGGTGGGGAGATTGGGGGTGTTAGAGGGGGACACAGAAGCCGGGAGCGTGGTTGGGAGGGTTGGTCTTACCATAGAGGGAGAGCATTGGGTATGTTCAGCTGGCTTTAAAGAAAGGCAGATAGAGATAAGCTGTAATGAGTCTCCCATGAAGATGCCCGGTATTCTAGGTCTTGGCTAACACAGGAGCAACACAGTGGCAGAAGAGGGCAAAAGGAAACAAGTGAAAGAAACATGAAAGTGTAGGCCTGGCAGGTCCTGGGCATCCCCGTGAGTGTGGGGTCTGTGTTGCTGGGTCTCATGTCAAACCAGGACCCATAGGCATTCTTCTGCCTATGAGCTTTAAATAACTCATGTCCACAATATTATTAGATAAGCAGCTGAGGTCTTCGGGACTTTGTGGATGGAGGTTTGTAATGTTTTGTTTTAGAGACAGGGTCTTAGCTCTGTTGCCCAGGCTGGAGTGCCATGGCATAATCACAGCTCACTGCAGCCTTGAACTCCAGGGCTCAAATGATCCTCCCATATCAGCCTCCCTAGTAGTTAGGACTACAGGCACGTGCCACCATGCCCAGCTAATTAAAAACATTTTTTGTAGAGATAGGGTCTCACTATACTGCCCAGGCTGGTCTCAAGGCCTGCCCCAAGCAATCCTCCTGCCTTGGCCTTCCAAAGTGCTGAGATTACTGGTGTAAGTCACTGTGCCAAGCCTGTTTTCATGTTTTAATTAGCCATTGTTAACCCTTGAGGACTTGGGCTTTATGGCAGGGCCAGCTGAAGGACAGAGGCCTTGCTGACCCCAGGGCCTATCCTTGCCCATACATATTTAAGCATTTAAGCAAAGCAGCCCAAAGGTAGTGACCTCTCAGGGTTAGGGAAACTGACTTCAGTCTAATACTGAGGAGGGCCTCCAGAGGTGGCCTCCACAGACTCCGTAGTGGGGCTCATTCTCAAAGCTCAGGCTCAGGCAGGAGATGGCTTTGCTTAGCTGTTGGTCTATAGATGTGGTGAGCCTGGCCATTGGCATGAAATAATGATTATTTAATTGTTTTCTAAACTTGAAGGCCCTGTACACAATTTAAGATACTAACACCTCAAGAAGCTGTTCTCACGGGTGTGATTGCTGAACTCATTTGGGGGTAGGAGCTGAGGGAGCTGGCCTCTGGTGAGTATCCCAGGGCCAGCCCTCTCCCCCAGTTCCTGGAGCGTGGATCCGGGAAGGTGCCCTAACTCTTTCGCTCCAGCACAGAGGGCTCAAGCCCCGACTGATCTTGATCATCTGAGCTGCTAACTCTTTCTAGAAAGTCAGGATTTGGCTTTTACTCCCCACTTTCAGATGGTTGCTCTTGTATTTCTGTTTTTAAGGTACAAACAAGGAAAATGTGTAATGGAATTTTGAAGGATGAAAATGTGCACAACGAGACATTTGCTTGCAGCCTGAAAATATTTCTTTGGTAACAGATTTCTCAGCAAATTCTTTGTGTTTTCATAGCTAGTTGGTAGGATGTCCTTTTGGGGGATGGGTGAGATGAGGGAAGAGAAGGAAAGGGATGCTTCTCTAGGCATTTACAGAACACTCTAGATCTGGATCTCTAGATCTCAGCTTCTGCTTCACGAAGATTCCACCTGCCAGGGTGCCTGCAGGGTGTGGGTCCCTAGAATTTGGCTAGCAGGCTGAGACTGAACACAGAGACAAACATAGGCAGGCACACACACACAGACACACACACACACACACACACACACACACACTTTCTCTCTCTCTCACACACACATTCTCTCTCACACACACTCACACACACACACACTCTCTCACACACACACACTTTCACACACACACGCACATACACACACAGAGGCATGAACAGAAGAAATTTCTTGGCAAAGCGCCTAAACCTCTTTTCCTCTGGTGTGTGAGAGTTGCCCAGGATGGTCAGGTCTAGCTATCCACAGGTATCTTGGCCCAGTGCTTGGGCTCCCTTGCTCTTGGACAAGGAGTTCTGTGTTTCTCAGGCTTCAGTGGGGCAGGGAGGGAGGCCCAGAGGGAGATAACCTACACCATGTTAACTCCAGAGTGTTGGGCAGAGTTCCCAGGAGGCTTGAGCCATTGCTGCCCTCTTGGATCCATCCTGCAAACCATCACAGCTTCCCATCACTTCTCAGAACTCTGGGCAAATGCTTGAAGGTCTTCTGGGTCAATCCCAGCCTGAACAGGACCAAAATGGGAGCAATTCTGACAACACACCTAGGTACTTGCCTTACCTGGCCTAACTAAACCAACCTCTAGGCATCAAAAAACAACAACAACAAAAACCCTGTTTCATTTTACTTCTTAAACATTCAGAACCAGGCAAAGTGGCTCATGCCTGTAATCCCAGAACTTTGGGAGACTCAGGCCGGCAGATCACGAGGTCAGGGGTTCGAGACCAGTCTGACCACCATGGAGAAACCCCTTCTCTACTTAAAAATACAAAAATTAGCCGGGCGTGGTGATGCGCACCTGAAATCCCTGCTACTTGGGAGGCTGAGGCAGGAGACTTGCTTGCACCCGGGAGGCGAAGGTTGTGGTGAGCCAAGAGCATGCCATTGCACTCCAGCCTGTGCAACAGGGCAAGACTCCGTCTCACACACACACACACACACACATGCATACACATATATGAATGAAAACACATTCAGAATCCTTCATTTGAGACTTTTAAACATTTGTCTTAACTGTCTTTTCTCTTGTTGCATTTTATAGCTCCCATTTAAGACCTTGTCTGTTTAAGTCATATTTCACTTTAAGACTTGACTTTAGGTCTGCTCTAATAATCTCGAGAGTATTTTGTATTTTAATAACATGTGTTGATGTAACAATTCCTATGGCACATCTCTGTAACAGCAGACAAGAAAACGTCAGGAGCAGCTATGAAGACAGTAGAAAGAGGAAGAATGAGGACTCTCAGGGATCTCTATGTGGCATTCTTCTGCCCACATAATGACAACTTTCCAAAGAGACCAACTTTGGAAGAAGCTAGAGACTCAAAGATTAACTTTTTATTGAGCCTTAAGCCTTACTGTTCACAGGGCATCTTTGACTGGCTAGGTAGTATTACCTCTACCACCACACAAACCTGTTTTCACATAAGGAGCTATGCTTACAAGGTACGTGGTCTCAAAAATTAATAACCATTGACAATGAAATCAGAGAGCAATCCCTGAGTGATTTCTACATGGTAACAATAGGAAGCAGCCTAAGACACAGCCCCTGCCCTCAGGGCACCCATGGTCTACTGATGGATGCCCTGGATGTTTCCTACATGACCCCACGTAATTGTTGGAATCTTTGGTACCCTTTCCCCCTGGCAAGTGAATCCCCTGCTGGGATGGAAGGAGAGATTGGACTTGCTGGAGATGGACATCTGTGGTATCCCAAGATCAGCACTTTTAGCTCAGAGACACATTTCTGTCTTTAAATACCTAGTATGGCCACTTGAGAAACTACAAAGCATCAGTTCTACCTTTGGATGTAAATTCAGAATTTGCTGGTAGCCATGAATACTTGGGCCATTAATCTCTGACTCCTTCCCAGATTTGCTCTCGGTGCCCTTGAGTTATTTTGTAATTTCTCCATCTGTGGTCTTTCCAGGGGAAGAAAGGGGCGGTAGGATTCCCTGAAGACCCCCCCCACTTCCCCCTCACCCCCACCAGCCTGGAGACTGCATTCTTCTTTTACCGGAGCCAACAGAGCTGCTTACATAACCTGAGCATTCTGGCTGATTTTTAATATGGCACTGTCTCCACTAATGGTAGGCATGGAGAAATTTCCGAGCAGCCAATTCTTTCATCCTTGTTTTCTAATGATCTGGTAATTTTTAATGATTTCATGATATTGGGGCAATTAACTTAATTTGTTCATGTAATGATATAAATGAAATGAAGTTATTATTCCATATCTGAGGCAGAGGTTGGTCATTTTCAGAGACAGTTCTGGTTAGTGGTTCCAGATAACAGGCTCAGGGCAAATAGAAAGGAAAGCCAATTTCCTTCCTTCAATATGCTTATGCAGATTGCCTTGGTTTGGTGAGGAAAGGAGCGGTGCAGGGCAGCTAATGAGAGGTCTCTGGAAAGCTGCCTTTTGAATTAAGTTCAAGGTCAAATGACAAGTAACACCCCCGTGGATGAAGTCCTTATTTCTGGAAGATACTCACTGTGCACTTCTTTTCATCTGAGTGCCAGCTCTAGGCCACATTTAGGATGCTGAGGGGTGAGATTCAGGGAATGCCAGAGGCCAGCAGAGACAGGATCCTCCCAGGTGGAGGCTTTTCCCAACAGGATGGTGTGGGAAGCCATGGGGTGTGTTTCCTGCTTGCTAGATCACATGGTCTCTCTGGAGACTTAAAAGGTAGTTGAAAAATAGCTTTTTAACATAAGAAAAAACGTTTTTAAAAATTATTTTTTAAAAAAGCACAGCCAAGGGTAAGGATTATAGAAACTCAGTGGCTGAGCAGTAGATCTCTGGCTGGAATACTCAATCAAGTTGTCTTCCACAATACTCTCTTGCAGTTAGGGGGCCAGAGAGCACTGTGAAGAGGGCATAAGCCATGGCTGTGTTCTCCTTGGCAGGCTGAATTTGAGAGGTGCAGATAACCCTCTGATCTCCTCCAGGGAAGGCTGGCTTTTGGTTCTATGGAAAAGGACCGCCCAATTCCAATGGCTGCCATTGAGACAACGCTGTGACCTCAGCATCACTGAGATTCCATGTGCCTCTGAAACAGACGTCAAATGTAATGCCCTGAGAGTTTGTGAGTCTCTAAATTGTGGTCCTGCTACAGAACGCTCGCTGTATTTCTTTAAATGTCTTGTCCAGAACTTAGGGAGGCAGATCTGATATAAATTTCACTCCAAGCCACCTGAAAGACTCGATCCAGCTGGTATCCCCTCCCTATGCTCCGCTTCTCTGCTTTTACTACCTCTAATCTCAGGTTGATCTGCAAGACACAACAGCTGATTCTGTGGGGGTTGTCATGGTGGAGGAGGACCAAGGGGTGGGGCTTTGAGGGAGAGGCCTTGGAGGTAAATCTGGGTCAGGATGATGGTGGTCAGGCTGGTGAACAGAGAGA